CTCCAAATATTCTCCCAAAATGTTTGCATTTCTTCAATAGATGGTGGCTTTTTTACTTTTATAACTGCTTTTCCAATTTTCCTGTAAAACATTTTGATATCCGTTTGGAATATCTTATTTGGTCGATAGAACCTACAACACATTTTATATCATCTTTGTTTTCTGTGCCTTTAATTGCAGTTTCTATTTAAGTATTTCCTTGATTGGTGGAATTTCATTTACTGCTTTAATTTTATATTTCTTCTTGATCTTCTTTGTCTTCCGTGTTGAAACATTTGAATTTCTTGAAAATTCATCTAGTATCGATAACTCACATTTGATTTCACCAATTTATCGCCTTAATTTTGTCTTTCAAATGGGCTCTTTTTGTCTGTTATTTAATCTTTTACTTGTCTTGACATTACATTTCTTCAGTAGCTGGTAAAGCTGTTGCCTATATGATATTATTTACTTCTGCTAGGGGATAATTATGTAGAAGATATCACCCCAAGGACGACTGTCGGCTAAAACTAAAGAGTTCGTCCTGCCCATGAGACACGGCTATTACCCGTCGGTTACTATCCCTATTTCTAGGCCATGGAGAGTTTTACTTATACATCTGTTATTATTATTGTTATTATTATTATTGTTGTTTCTGTTGTTGTTGCTGCGGTTGTTGTTGTTATTATTATATAATTAATTGTTTAGTTGTAGAAAATGTGTGTAATCCGTCGATCTCAAGAGACCATGGATTTGAGCCCCAAATGTATGCCTCAGCTGCTGGTGACGGTGCGGTATCTGTACAGGATCACATGAGAGTAACAGTCTCACAGGAGTTGCCAGAACGAAGTAGAACATAACATCAGATTGTCTTAGAGACTCCGAATCCAGGTTTGTGTTTACTCCCGAAGACATTCCCGATGGCCGCAAGGCAGCAGAGGTTTCAAATCAGTTTTCCTTCCTTCCTGAACTAACGAGTTCTACCTACTCGAAGTATATATATATATATATATATATATATATATATATATATATATATATATATGCATACACATATATTTACCACTTTAAGAATTATTATTACTATAAATGATACTAATAGAAAGCAATAAATAAGAAAAATAAAAGCATAAAATTATTATCAAATCTATGAGAACACTTTTGTTTGTTAAAATATTCGAAAGATAAATAAATAGAAGAAATTGATCCAATAATAAAAGGAGTAAACAAAAATAAAATAACGTAGGACTCAAAGCAAATTTAAAGATACGTCCTCATTCATAAAATGTGTTACATTACAACCAATAAATAAGAAAAGGATAAATCAATAAAATTATAGACAAATGTTGTTAAAAATGTTTGAATGATAAATAATAGAGAAAGAAATCGGCGATATTGAACGAATAATCAGAGATAAACAAAACAAAATAAACATTAATACTCGAAAAGTTTTTCCTACAAGTTCAATTTTTCATTAAAAAAGATGGAAATGTTACGCTTAAATATATAATAGATTAGAATCATTCATGCCAATGTACAAGTAATTTAACAAATACAGATTATTAAATGTTCTTAGTATAAAAATCCTTAGTGAGATATTCTTAATGAATTATACTTGCTAAATAATACATATTTTTAAAATAAAACAATCCATGTATACCAGGACTTATCTTAAAAAATAAACAAATATATATTTTAATAATTAAAGATTATAAATGCATGATAATATAATAAAAAAATATAAAATAATAGACAAAGAAAAATATAAGAATAAATAGAGAATTAAAGTAATGAAAATTTCTCTTTTAAAATACATCTGTTTCTTTGAGCAATGAAAAAAAACACGTTTGTTCACTCCGACATCAGTGCTCTCTTCTGCTTTTAATTATTATTATTATTATAATTATTATTATTATTTCATTTGGTTTCTGCTGTGTACTCATTCCCAACCAGAGAGCAAAGGCCAGAAATGACATCATGACATTTCCACTGAACATTTTGTAAAAAAAATGTGGTAGCCCAAGATCACACACATTTTACATAAATAAAACTCTTCATAAGATATGAGCTTGTGAGTTCAATTTTTGAATTTCTTTACGGCGTGGGCTGCGAGGGATCCCTTCAGTGAGTCTATCGGAACCTTTTCCAATCAAATCGAGGGCTCCAACTACACCTGGCATTATTGATGTCCTCGTCTGCGACATTTTTGAGATTTCTACTTGAAATGTGCTGAAAAGTTGTTCTGCCAACCGACCACTTTCCATGACCAAATGACTAAATACAAGAATACTTTCTGGAATTACTTTTTAATGGGACCTAGAACTTTTCAGCACCCGATCTTATATAAATTTTTTTACACATGTTTCATAGAATATAACGGACAAAGATAAGTTTAGTCATTTTCCAAATGAAATTCACTTTAATTCATTTCATTTGAAAATGGTAAAAGTATTCGGTTGCTATGAACAGGTTCTACACTCTAATCCTCATTAAAGAAAAATTGTAAGGACACATTGAAAACTAAATAAAACATACAAAATATGTCTTTCCACCATGTTCAACGATATGTGGCACCTTGCATTATTAGAAATATTCATAGAAATATGATTTAATTTTTTTTTTCTCGGTTTATTAAACAGGTTGTTAATTTTTTTTTTTTTTTTTTTTAACGGAAAATAATTGAGTTGAAAATAATTCACTAAGATTGTACTTGGACGATCCTAAGGGAAGAAGAAGGAAGGGGAAAGAGAGAGGTCGAGAAATACAAAAAAAGCGGTCATTAACAAAAACACGAGTCAGAAAGATATCTTAGCTAGCATGTTGACCGAATTTTTTAAAGACAATTGGAAGAATAGAATTAGAAATAATAAAAAGAAAGAAAGGGAAAAGACATGATATCAAAACGGGCCGCTTGATGAAAACCAGATATCGGTCAAAGCATCTAGCCTACTTTTTGCGTAGAAAGACACCTTATCAATTTGGATAAAGGGAAATTTTGGGAACAATGAAAACGAAATCTTAATCAGAGAAAAAGTGCTTTTGGGTTGAGGGGAGGACCGGTGGAACGGTATACAGATTCTGACCTGTTAAAAAATTAGAACCCCACATTGACGAGTGAAAGATGTTTTCAATTCAGATAAATTAAGATTTTCTGACTGCCGGGTCTGACAAAAAACAAGAGGTGAAAAAAACGATTGTCTCAGATCACAGATGGCGACAATATTCTTTCCTGAAGTCACAACTAATTAGCGGCGGGCTGGTTGACAGAGCCCAGGTGAGAGAGAGCCAAGATTGTCATTTTTTCGTACGTGCAGAAAGGGCAAAATTGGATTTTGGTTTTTTAAAAACAAGAACGATGTAACCACGCCCGAAAGGAGGAGAAAGGATGCTCGATCAATAACAATTGGTCGGAAACGGTCACGTGATCTGCAGAAAAGAAGAGAAAGAAATGCCCGATCAGGAACCATTGGTCGAAAAACGGTCACCTGACATACGAGAGACTAAGAGAGATGGGTGTGCACCTCCCCACAAAAGGCACTGTGAGGAAGTAGGGGTGAAAACAATAGCGATAATGAGAAATCAAAAATAATGCGACTTTTGGAATTATCGAGAAAACCCCTGACGCCGACAGACCCACCCCAGTTTGTTGCGGCGTCAATAAAAGCAGGACCCCAGTCGACAGAAATCAGTTGGAGTTGAGAGTTGCAGCTGGACCGCGGGCAGGGATAGAGCCTGAACGCGGGCATCAGGCCCGATTCACTCGCCCCTTTGCGGGCAAAAAGAATCCTCAGACAAAAATCCTCCCAGCCCAAGTCGAAGACAGAAGAGTTCAGCCCCGGACGGCAGCGAGAAGAGATCACCTCGGACGACAGAGAGTTGCGGCTGAGTTGCGGCAAGAGATCCTTCCAGCCCAAGTCGAAGACAAGAGAACTTCCAGCCTAAGTCGACGAAGAAGAAGAAATACAACTCAAGTCGAAGAGAAGAATCAACTGCGAATGATCGATAGAAATTAGCCCCAGTGTCGAACCAAACCACACTCCGACATACACAATTCTAAAGAGTAGGCAATTCGAAATCTTTAGGTTGTGTGATAGAAGCTTGTTATAGTCCACAGAGCGGGTTGGGAAATGAGAACAATTTTGTTTTTTATAACGGACATTAAGATATAAAAGGTTGTTACCCTTTTTTTTCATCAGCAATCTTTTTTGTCTCGTGAGTTTATTTTCTCTTTTATTTGTGTTTTGCCACCCCGTCGGACTCAACTTGTATCGGCCCCCAATCCCTGCTGGTCCCGTCTGTCTAAGATCTAAACACAACGTGGGTAGACAGACCGGAGATCGGTACAGTTGCTTTAGTGACCAGGTATTGGAAGCGAGTCGGGAAAGGCGAGGCTGGTGATCATCTGACCAAGGGGTTGGAGCGGCACGCTTGGACCCAGGAGGAGCGACCAGGAGGAGCGACGTCATCGTTAACGCCGTAACCAAAGGATCCGACCCTGGGCCAGGTGTGTAACCGTCACAGATATATATATATATATATATATATATATATATATATATATATATATATATATACCATTTCGTCTCTCTTTTTTATAAACATGAAATTAATAAAGCAAAATGAATGCATATCTTTCTTATGTTTGAGTATTAACAAGCATATATGGAAAATATATCGTGGAGTTTCTGGAAAATTCTAGAAAAATCGCGATATATGAACACCAAAAAATTCTCATTAAATCCATTAAAATATTAATAATAAATATTATTTCATAGTCTAGGAACAACAAAACAAGTGTAAAATAGCAAAAAAAAAAAAACATATGCAGGGGTATTTGAACTTGTAACTCACATGACAAAAAAAAAAAAGAACCATCTAGAATGTGATGTGCATACAGTATCCGCGTACCATATCGGTGACGAGGGTGCATTGTAAGACGAGCTGTGATTGGTGCAATGGAGAGAGACGACGAATCACAGCTTTTTATTTTGTAATCTGGCCTGAGATTGGTACTTTGACCGATGCTCAGATTCGCAACATCTTCCCTTGTCTCTCTCTCGCGGCCATTTCGCTTCAATCTTTCTCGCCGGGCGGTTTACTGTACTAATTTACGCTGTGCTGTGTGTGATTTTTTTTCCTTTCTTTGCGTTGAACTTTGCGTTTTCATCCCCTGCAATGGCTCCCAAGCGTGCTGCTTCTTTCAAGGCTGGTACTGAGCCTAAACGCAACCGAAGAAAGATGACGATTGCCGAGAAGATGAAACTTCTGGATATGTTGAAAGATAGAAGATCTTTTGCTGCCGTAGCCCGCCATTTTAGCGTGAACGAATCCACCGTTCGCTACATCAAGAAGGACGAATGTTAATTAGGAAGACGGCCGCCATCACCTTTAATAAGTCGGCGAATAGAGTGTTTAGAGAAGGGCTTGACATTCGAAATCCTTCTCCTTATGGATAACGCTGGTGGCCACGCTATTGATCTGTCGCATGAGGACATTCAGATTGAATTGCTGCCGCCCAACACTACGCCACTATATTCAGCCAATGGACCAGGGGGTTCAAGGCCTTATACACGAGGAATGTCCTGGCGAGCCTGGTTGCTTCTGTGGATGCCGCCCAATAAGTTGAAGACGAAAATTTTAACTTGAATGCATACTGGTGGCAGTACATAATTGCTACGTGCCTCCAAAATATCCAGAAGGCATTACAAGAAATGAAGCCTGCCACCATTAACACAAGATGGAAGAATTTGTGGCCCAAGGTTATTTACGACGACAAAGGATTTACACCTGCCGAAATCCAACACTCTGAATGAATTAGACTGCCACTCCCAGCCGCTAACCGACAAACACTTTGAAGACTTGACGAAGTCGGCCAGCGAAGAAGAAACGCAACAAGAAATGGAAGGACTTGTCGACCAAACTGGCTTGTATTTGGAACGGCTGGCCAAGTTCTGCAACCTGGCTAAAGAATAGAAAGAGGGGTCACAGGAATGGGATGACGATATGGTTCGTTCTATGCAATTTTGCAACAAGGTCATAAATCCCGACGAGATGCTCTTTGAACGGAAAAAGAAGCAGTGGCAACAACTTCCTATCACAATATTTTTCCAGCCTCAAAGAGCCATTTTCTGCTGCTACTACTACGGTTGCACCTTCGGAAGAAGTGGAAGAGGTATCCCAGGAAAGGGCATCGCTGTCTGAAGAGACATAAAATACAATCATCGGCTGCACAGTAGATATCATCATCAGCATCATTTCTACTGCGCATCATCATTCAAATTTTAATTCAACTTCTTTCGTGTTGAATACAGTAACGATCTTTATTTTTTTTTAAACTAAAGTGTTATTGCTTAACAGTTGTCCTTGTTATTAATAGAGTACTGTAATGGTTGGGATGTTAACAGTACAGGGAGGGTTGCAAAAGTCCAAATACACGTTAAATAAATACTGTAAATATGACGTCCCTACTTCGCGGGAATTCAGTTATCGCGGCCTATCTCGGAACTAATCTACCGCGATAAACGATGGATCACTGTATTGTTTTTTATTCATATTGTTCCTTTCAGATTCACCCTCCCTGAAAATAATTTACACACACACATACACACACACATACACACACACAGGCAAAAGAGTTAATCTATATAGATGTGACACATACTTGTGTGTGTCTGTTTATTTTCTATCAATTCATCTTGCGTTTAATGCCTTCCATATAAAAAAGAAAGGAAGCGTAAAACAAGTAAAGTTCATGCGTCATGTTTCTGACGTGAGATAAAAAAAAAATCGAATAACTAACATGAATTGTGATGGCAGAAACCTTTTGGCGAAAACCTTCCTCTTGATTTTTCCCTTCTGTTACAAAACCCTCGCCCGAACATGATTGTAAAGGAGGATATATATATATATATATATATATATATATATATATATATATATATATATATATATATATATATATATACAGTGTGTGTGTATGTGTGTGTGTGCGCGCGTGCGTGCGTGTATGTGTGTGCGCGCGTGCGTGCGTGTATGTGTGTGTGTGGGTGTGTTATAGTTTGCTCGCTTTTGTATATACTAACTTTAATATAGATGTGGTGATTATTAGTTTTTGGTTTTTAATTATATCCTCTTTATTTCTTTCTCACCTTCATAATTGTTATTTCTCTCCCTTTTCCAATAGAACCCTCTCTTTCGTCAATCTTTTTCTGTTCTTCTCTCTCTCTCTCACTCTCCCTCTTTCTTTCACTCTTTCTCTCTCCCGCTCTCTGTGTTAATCTCTACTCAGTTTTCTCTCACCTTTTCTCTAGTTATTTTTTTCATATTTTTTGTTTCCAATTTGACAGTTTGTAAAACTTTCTTTAGGTCTTCTGCTATTTTCATCTTCCATTTTCTAAACCGTTCTATTGTGTCCTTTTTTATTTCCTCTCGCGTATTTCTGTCTCTATCATTTCTTCCCATCCGTTTTAAAGAGCCGATCTTTAATTCAAACCAACACATCGTTTTTACTTGCTTCCTATCTTTTCTTTTTCTTTTCTTCATTGCTTCATTTTTCCCCTCTTTTTTCATTAGTTGCTTCTATTCTTTGTTACATCCACTCTTCCTTCTTTCCTTGTTTCTTTTTCCTTTCTTTTTTAATTTCTTCTTCCTTTATTCTCGTCATCTTTCTTTCTTTCTTTCTTTCTTTCTTTCTTTCTACTTCGATCGTTGTTTTCTCTCTCCATTCTTTCCTAGTACAGGGTGCGATGGGTAAATTGTCACTATTTTATATTTGTAATTTTCGCGGACGCGCGTTGTTTGTTTCTGATTTTGTCGACTGCATAGTATAGTAGGCTCACCATGATGGAATTCATTCATTCACCCAGAAATTTGGAAGCAGCATGCTTTACTTCTTGGCATTCGCACCGGGAGCTCCAATCCGAACATTTCAGAGTGTTTGGGTATCAATCTGACAGTGCAGAGGATTCGAAAAGAGTTTGATGAGTCTAATGGTGATGACGAAAATATGACAGCTCGGAAGACTCACTTTGAGTGTTATGATAAGAAAAGAACTCCCGAAACTCCACACGGAGGCCTAGAATAAGTTCGTTGAGGAGGTAGTGCTTTTCCAGGTGAAGACGGTGGCAGCTGGAAGATCCTATGTCTGGCAACAGGACTCTGCACCATGCCACACAAACAGAAGAACCCAGTCATGACTGTCAGACAAATTCTGCGACTACATCACTCCTTACATCTGGAGACATAACTCCCCAGACTGCAACCCCCTTGATTAATATGTGTGGGGCTGCAGTTTAGCGAGAGACCAACAAAATTCCTTGTAACAACAAAGATGAACTGAAGGCAAGGCCATAATGACAGCATTCACCAATTTATGCAAGGAGACCGTCCAGAAGAGTCGCAGAAGATTCCGAATTCGTCTGGAGGCCGTGATTGCCAACGACAATTTTATTGAATAAATTTACTCTTTAGTATTTCAAGATGTTTTTGTGTAATTTTGGTAAATATATGTTAAAACAAGATTTCAGTGTAATTATCATTTTTGCATAATTTAATCGACAATTTATCCATCGCACCCTGTATATCTTTTCCCTTCCTTATTTCCATTTCCTTTTTCCATCAATTATTGCTTAATTTTTTCCTCCCTTCCTTTTTTCCTTCCTTTTTACCTTACTTCCTCCTTTTCTTCCTTTTTTCGTTCCTTTTTTCATTTCTTCTTTCCTTTTTCCCTTCCTTCCTCCTTTTCTTTCTTCCTTTTTCCTTCCTTTTTCATTTCTCCTTTCCTTCCTTCCTACCTTCCTTTTGTTTGTTCTTTTTGTATTTATAATTCAGTATTATTTTACACATTTTTTGTTTACCCTATCACACTTTCTCTCACTATAATATCTATATATATCTATCAAGGTGTGCTGAAACATCCCAAAAATCCACATCCCAAAATCGGATCCAATAACCGAACATCAACATTTATTTTAGAATGCCTACTTGGTCGGAGGACTTTTCAGCATGCCCGCGCAGACACATATGCAAACACCCCACATATATATGCTGAATTTTGATGTTAAATTTTCAGTGTATAATGTTCGATGTCTGATTAATATTTACCACTATCTTAAATATCTTCCCACCGAATTAAATTATGTTGAAAAATATATATGTTGCATGAAGTGAATACTTTTTCATAATTACACTGCGAAGTTATTGATATATACCTATATAAGTATAGTTATTGATAAATTTATATATACACACACACACACACACACACACATATATATATATATATATATATATATATATATATATATATATATATATATTTATTTATTTAGATCATTTCTACATACATACATATATATATATATCTTTATTTAGATCATTTCTACACACACACACATACAGTTGAAAAGTTAGACGTAAACGCCTGGTAATTTTTTTAAGAATTGTACTTGTTTTGTACTTTAAATAAGAGAAAATTATTATACATGGTTAAAAAAAAGTGTGATATGATTTTTATTAGAAAATTTATTATGACAAAATCGAAAAAAAGCATTTTACGATTAGATGTTGGTCTCGTCAAAATATCCTCTCATAGCCTTAATTACTGCAGCACAAATTTTTGACATTCATTGCAAAAGTTTCTCAAAGTATAAGTTTGATAATTGATTCCATTCTTTTTTCAATGACGCTGTTTCACATTTTTTTCACTCTTCTATTAAGTTCATTGTATGCTAATTCTGGGGGTGGATTTAAACTTTTGAACTATAGTATATATATATATATATAATTGTGTATCTGGGGTATAAATCACTCCCTTATATGCCTTCGTTGAAAACAAGGTACTTCTGTTAAGCGTTAATGGATGCCAAAATTGTACAATAGATTGTTTCGAACGCTTTCCGATTAACCAAACAGACACACACACAAACACACATAACCTCGACACGCACATATATCTTTCTATCTCTCTATCTCTCTATCTCTCTCTCTCTATATATATATATATAAATAATAATAAAATAATAATAATAAAAGATAATAAGATAAAAATATCAAAAAGATAATAAAAGAAAATATGATCACATGATTGTATGTATAGCCTTGACAAAAATAACTTTGTTTCTTTATCTGTTTCTAATATATTTTTGATTAACTTCCGAAATAAATTATCCTTTAAGTTAAAATTCACATCCCAACACGGTGTCTCCATTAGTCAGTTGAATTTTATTATCTTTTCACTCAATATAACAAGACGATCGTTTTTTTTCCTTCGATAATGGATGTGCTAACTGCAATGTGTATATAGAGGACAGTGTTTATATTTTCTTTCCTATTCGAAAGATAAGCTGTTAACTTGCTTGATAAAAATAAATTGAAACCTATTTGCTCCCGCTTACGCCTCAATGTTTAACATAATACTTGTGAAGAGCGAATATTGTCTAACAACTACAAGCATAATGATGTAAATGTTTAGCTAAAAATCTGTCCTATTCCCACCACTATTATAATATACTATTTAAAATTACAGAAACTGTGTATGTCATTATCGTTCTTTTATTTGTATTCTGTTAAAATCTTAACTTTAAGTACAAATAAGAATTGTTATCTTGGTGTCGTTAATGTAATTGATCAGTCGGCGTTCGAATCTTTTACAGTTTAAAGCTTTAAGACTGACATCCAGCGGGAAGTAAGGCGTTTGGGTTGAGTATTTGTTAGTAGGATGCCGACTAAAATGTTCGCTTACTTGTACCGCGCTCCGGAAAGCATCTGACGCTTCCTGTAACACTTTATCTTTAAAAAAGTTAGATCAAACAAAAAATGGTGTATTGCTACCATCTCTGGGTTGGAGCTGCCTAATTCTCACCCAAAAGTGAGTACGCGTTCTTGTAGGCCATGAATTATTTTCAGCCGTTCATCTCCTTAGCTACAGAACTGTTACTTTGTAGAACAAACCCCCAAGATGATGCTTCTCCGATTACTAATATCATATCCTCTTAAAATCTAGAGTCAACCGTTATCTATCCTACATATCCTCATAATCTGCACTTATTTCCTCCGATTACGCCCATGCAACAACCTCATTCATTAACTCCTCTTCCTCGAGTGGCTCTTGGGCCATGTATTAAGTGAACATTTTATTTTATTTAAAAAAATTTTTTCTTGCAAACATTACGTTAGTGTAGAGGATTCGATTTTGTGTCCGCAACTATAGTGACCATCTTGCAGTTAACAGTAAAACTTAATAAATATATGTTGTGGACACCTGTCGTAATGATTAATATTTTAATGTCGTGAGTTCGATCCTCACTAGATTTCCTATTGTGACGGTGATCAACTTAGCAAATATCTATTTTCACTCTTAGAGTCGTCTGATTCTCATCAGTGGAAAAGAATTTTACTACAAAATAGTCATTTATTACTTTTGACTGAATGAATATATTTTCTCTTGTTTTGAAAGATACTATCATAAATTCCGTTTTAATAATGCATATTTGAACTTCAAAATATTTATCTAAGTATACATATATATATATATATATATATATATATATATATATATATATATATATATATATACATATATATATATATATATATATATATATATATATATATATATATATATCTTCAGGGTATATATAAAAATATATATATTTATTGATAAAACCATTAAAACATTAAAAACTAATGAGCATTAAAACCAACAGAAAACCTACCTGGGTTTCTATTCTAAACGGATATTCTTTAGGGTAAGTAAACTAACTTAAAATAGGAAATGACTAACAGTATTTTTTTTCAAGCAGTGATTAAAAAACCATTAAAACATTAAAAACTTAAAGTTCACTTGTTAAGAAATAAAAAATAAAGGAAGGAAGATTAAAACTTCTTAAGTCGAAGGTTCACAGATAGAAAGTTAAAAAGTGAAATCTTTCCTATTTAGAGGATTGCAAAAAATATTAGTCCGTCTATTCGTCTACAAACTCCAGACCATCTTGCCATAACATTCAGAAAAATTATGATTAGCTTCTCGATATAGCCTGAGTAAAAGCGAATAAATAAATAATTGAGGTTTAAAACGAAGAAAAGACATTTAATCCCAATCTCAACAGTCAACAGCCAATCGTCTAAACCGATTATTAAGGATTTGTGAATTACATAAAAAAAATACATTTGTTGGACCTTTTCCCCGACACCTTGTATGTTGTTGAAATATCAGTACAACTTCGTCCTCTTGTCTCTTGCTTTGTACACGGTTTTCGTAGTTGTTTTCATAGGAATCTATCTTAATAATAAACTGATATTTTAACACGAGATTTACAACATGCTACATTTTTCTCTGTAGAAAAAATATCAATTTCTGAGTATGCGCTATACCAAATGTCAGGTACCATGGTCAATTCTTCGTTCTGCAATGAAAACTTAAAGCTGAAAAACCTTTGTTTACAAGAAAACTGTCTTCAATGCAAGTGTTAATTTAATCTTGGATAAACAATGTTTCAAATTTCATTTTAAAGATATAACAGGAAAATTGGCGCTAAAAACATAGCAGTCGCATATTTGTATACATCTAAACTCTTTTATTTTAAATGTGGTTTCTGTTTTGCCCTAGCATGAATAACCTTGGGAACGATGAATAAAGTTTCAAGTGTTTGTAAAATGACGCAAACCACAATAACTGTTATACTCATGACAAATGACGTCGCAAAGTTTTGTCTGCGCGATACAATGAAAGATT